AAAAAGAGTACACATTCATTGATAAACTATTTAGTGCTGCCTCATTAAAAACCTTGTTAGGAAAACCTAATGAAAAAAACCGTAGACAAGGAAAAAAGAGTACAGCGTGTATTAACTCCCCCTCTTGATAACATCAATTGATATTCCTGAGTCTATGGTACCGATATCATGAACAAGCTTTTCAAATATTGTAATTGGAAGTGACTTGGTAAGTAAATCTGCTAGATTTCTTTGAACAGATTTGCTAAATATATATTTCACCATCTCTTGAATATTATGAGATAAATACTCCATTTGAAATTACTAGCATGTGGATCATAAAGAATGTAGAATTTTATTCTAATGTCTTTGGTGAAGAACTATGTCTTAGTAATAAGTTAACAGCAAATGATATGTCATGTCAAGTCATGAGTAACTGATAAGATATGATATGGTACTTCTGGACCTATGATTTGGTACTTTTGGAGCAAGTAGGTATTCATCACCTTCTCGAAATATATAAGGTTCTTTATTCACCTTCACAAATCTCACAACACCATTAAAGTACATAATGAATGTGATTTATCTATATAAAACACTTTTAGACCTTTCTTGTATCAATTATTTGATACACAAAAGTTTTCATTTCTCAAGTATTCAATTTGCAATCCGAGACAAAATTTTGTTCTTTCCAGTTCTTCATTTCAAATTCTTTCTTTAAGCAATCTATAGCTTTGTAAGCTCTTCAAGAGTTTTAATAATATTTATGTTACCAACATAAACAACAATTATAGCAAACTTATTTTCAGATCTTTTCATAAAAATGTGTGGGCAAATTGGATCATTTTTATATTATTTCTCAACTGGTATTTACTTAGTCGGTTATACCACATACACCTTGATCGCTTCAATTCTTATAGAAACTTATTTAGCTTAATTAAATATTGCTCTCAAGAACTTGAATTGTATGCTTCTGGCAAGTGAAATCCTTCGGGAAATTTCATATATTTTGATCCAGAACTATAAAATGAATGATACATACTGAAATTATTTTAATCTTCATAATATTTCATATACTGAAAGATTTTCTTATATATGCTCCTAGCATATTTTGGATCCTTCAAGGATAATCATGTAAATTTCACTATTTAATGATACTCATCCATGGGTCATAATAATATTTAATAGGCACATTTCATAACTGTCAGACTATTCAAATATGTAAAATTATATCCACCACAAAGTAATATGTCTCATTATAATTATTTGTGAAAATTTTTATTTTCATATAAACGTCCATATTTTTATAGAAACTTTATATTTCATGTGTTTGGACTGCAAGTCCATTTTTACATATCGAAATAATATTTTCATCATGTCTTTTCCTTTTTACTTTTGTTCTTGGCCAAACTTATGTCTACTTTATGTAATAAATCTATGTGCATGATCCTTTTTATCACATGATATTCTTATGAAAATCATTGTCGACAACTTTACCTTTTCGGTTCTATTTTTTCTTTTGTGACATAACTTGTTGAGATCTTTTCTTCCTTTTCAGGTACCTGAATCTCTTCCGGGGTTTTACAATTAGTTATGTCTTAACACTCTTCTAGAGTATATGCCTCCTCAATATAAGTTCTAAGTTGTATGCTCCTCTTTATTCAAGATATTTATATTGGAACCGATTAACCTCTCATGCTTCTGGTATGTTTATTTTTATTTATACTAATTGGAGCATTTTCAGCTAGAATAAGAGATTTAAAAATTTTCATTCAGGTCAGTAAAATATTTTGTAGCATTTCATGAATGCAATTTCGATGAACTTCTGGTCCATACTAATATATTTGAGGATTTATATTTGATAGTAATAATGCGTTCCATGCTATCTCTTTTCCAGTTAGTCAATTTCTCCCCCTCATGTTAGGATTATGCAATATAAATCTCTTAAATTCATTTGTTCTTTTAGGAACATAATTGTGTTCCATTTAGAGACAATCAAGAAGAAGGAGGTTCTTACCTAACATATGTCCAAACTGTTTTTTAAATATCCATCTATATGCAATGTGGTGGATTAGCAGGAATAAATATTGCATATTTCAAATTTTAGATGGAAAATATCTGGCTCCTAACCAAAAGCCAATTTTATTGGGAGAATTTTGTTGCCTTGATACGTATAAGTGCTGCAATATATTAAATTAAATATGCCAACACTAAAATGGAAAAAACTTGTTCTCATAAATATTGATCAAGCTGTTCACAGAGGCATTAACAAATAATTTTGCCAGATCAATTTGTTAAGCAGGCTTTTCAACATTAAAAGCCTTATATATAAATTCACTAGTATCTTTAAAATCAAGTTTTTAGGTTCACATAGTCCGAAAATATTTATCTAAACAATTTTACAAGCTTCAGGTTGCAAACTAATATTAGTCACACGTTACCATTTTATATAGATGCATCTATCAAATATTGAATACTTGTATGACTTATATGCTTCTAAATAGGCCCAATATATTTCCAAAAATGTAGTGATCCATTCTAAAACAAACATAACTAGAGATATTTTATAATCAATTTTTTTTTTGAAAACAAGCAGCACATACGAATTCTTAAAAATATTGGCTATTTGGAAGAATCTTCTAGTTTTTCAATGGATATCAACACATAATCTTTAATAATTTGTTGCATCATATAGTTTTAAATGATCAAACAAGTCATGTCAAAATAAATCTAATTATATGAATAAACGTCTGGTTTACTATACCATTTTTCGTTACCAATAATAAGCTTTTCAATATAATATATGATTGTTTGACATATATTTATGAAATTGATATGAAAAATATATCCAATATCAACTCATACTGTATTCCAACAACTCCCCCTCAACATTGAGTCATTCAAACATGATTAATTTATTCATATATTTCATAAACAGTTACGAGCATATAATAGGCTAAGGTCAATAACCTATCTTTTGCTTGGAAGCCTAAGTACTTCTTAGTTCATATATAGTTACAGACTTTAATCCAATTATACTATAACATTTACACTCTTTGGAGAATCAAAGTTGTGATGTAGATCTATGGGTCATATTTTTCATTATCAATACTTTGTTTGCTCATAAAGAAAAATTAGTATTAGCTCTTCTGGAACTATATTAATATTATTACATCTAGTTTTTCAGGAACTATATAATTTAGTAGGAATATGAAGCACAACTTTATTTCAATATATCATTAACACAATAACAAGTAATTATGAGTATCACATATTTAACTTGTAATACACATAGAGAACACCGAAATATAAAAGAACATTTAAAAATAAGCTTTTGAAAATAAAGTACAAATAAAAAATAACGTTCAAAACTTCTCAATATAGACATCTAAAATATTTAACACTAATATTGAATCAGATCATATTAATAAGATATAAATAAATAAAATATAACTAGTAACTTTTGGCACTATTTGATCTATTTAGTTTTATATCACACACTTATCAATATCACAATATCAAATTCTTATAACAATTTGTTTCTCACAAATCATAATAAATTTAAAGACTAATAAAAATTAAGCATTATCCATGGTCTTTTTGATTCCACAACTATTTTTTTTAACATTTGCTTTTTAATGAATTGATACATATTTATCTATATGATTTATGGTCATATTATAACAATTGTTCATAATTTTATCATATTGATCATAGAGCTATTACTAATTCTTCTGTTATGATTCAATAGTCAAGCTCCAAGATTATTGTCTTTTTAGTTATCAGTTCCACTAATATAATGTGATTATATTCTTTATTACTCTTATGGATATATTCCTTGCTTTCAATAACACACCATCATTTTTTTCAAATATTAGTCTTTCGGACTATAACAAAATTTTTAGAACTACGAAGTTCTTTTGTATCGTTTAATTTTTAAATCATCAATCTTTAGGATTTTGATATATTATCAAATTGTGACAATCTTATCATGCCATCTGTTACAACCACAAGATGATCTTTTATCAAAGAATCATTAAAATGTGATGTGGCTTCTAGTCATCTAATCACAAAATCAAGAGTACAATAGCTATTAGCTATTTATTTATATGTTTAACATTTTACTTTCTAATGCAACAATTAAGTAATATCAGAGATGATAATCATATATAGTAATATTATAGATGAACATTAACCTCATAGTAAATCAAGAAGTATAAGGATATAGAATTATGAAAAAGTAAGAAAAAAAATAAAAATTTTCATATCTCAATATGATAAATAAAATATTCGGCTACCCATGAATTAATAAGGTTGATATACAAAACCACCATTTCCTCTAAATAAATTGGAGAAATCTTATCAAACTGTTCGGATCAAACTATCTTCATTCAACGAACAAAATATCAATGTGTATCAACTAGAAGCCATGAACTTTGATAGTAGAGTATCATGCTGATAACGTGTTATGAAATTAACTAACAAAGAAAGTAGATTAGAAAAGAGATGTGCACAAGAAAATGAGAGAATGATATTGTATTTTTCACTTGCATCACAATACAATGGCATGTCTTATTTATAAACACAGTCTTACACATAGGTTACATTTGTACTTAAATGATAAATAGTGGACAATAAACCACATGAATATGAGTAGGGAGAGTTACAAGATTAAAAGCATAGTGGAAAGGTAATGGAGTAGTGGAAGATTAATGCTTAGTGAAAATAATGGGAGTTGATGAACTTGAAGAGAAAGAGGAAGAGGAAGAAGAAATGGACATCCACATGTTATAATATTTATAACAAAAATAATTCCACGATTGGACAAAATTATTTTTTTCTTTTTTAGACAATAACCTGATTACAAATTTTCCATATATATTGCATGCTATGGCATACAAATAATACGCCCAAGTTCCTCCTAAGTGCAAAATCGATCTTATACACCATAATTATTCCAAATTACATTGCCTTTTATTATGGCTCCAGCTGAAGAGAAAGTAAAAGTCCTTATGGTATCAATGGCTTTCCAAGGCCCCATGAACCCCATGCTCAACCTAGCCAAACTCCTCATTTCAAGGGGTCTTCGTGTCACTATCGCCGCCACTGAAATGGCTCGACATCACATAATAAACTCAAACCCTATTGCCCATAATTCTCAAATCCAGATCGAGTTTTTCTCTGATGGTCTTAGCCTTGACTTTGATCGCCTCAAGTATTCTGATGATTTCTTCGATTCTCTAAAAACAAACGGTCCCAAAAACTTATCAAGTCTCGTCATTACTTCGTCTCACCACTATTCTTGTTTAATTATCAATCCCTTCATGCCTTGGGCCATCGATGTGGCTCACGAGCATGGCATCGCTTGGGCAGTACTTTGGATTCAGGCGTCTTCTGTGTTTTCCATTTACTATCGTTACTATAAAAATGTTTAACTTTTTTCCAAATCTTGGAGACCCCAATGGGATTTTGCACCTGCCGGGACTTCAACGTTAGAGATTAGAGATCTTCCAACCTTTATGCTTCCTTCCAGTTCTGCAGGTTCCTCCATCAAGAACATTCTTCAAGATCTTTTTCAATCTCTTGATAAAGCACAATGGGTTCTCGCCACTTCGTTTGACGAAATTGAGGAAGAGATTGTGAAGGCCATGGATTATCTAATCAAGAATCGGTCCATTGGACCGTTGGTGTCGCCATTTCTTGTGGGACAAAAAGAAACCGATGATCTCAGTATTAACCTGTGGAATGCCGAAGATTCCTGCATGGGGTGGCTAGACGACAAGCCAGATTGCTCGGTAATATATATCTCATTTGGCAGTGTGATTGTCTTCACTCAAAAGCAGATAGATAATATAGTTATGGCTTTGAGAAATACCGAGAAATCGTTTCTTTGGGTGGTTTAGCCAGCTCGGAAACATTGCGAGGAAGATGATTCTGCAAAATTGCCAAATGAATTTCTGGAAGAAATGAAAAAGAAAGAGACAGGCTTGGTGGTCACGTGGTGTCCGCAAGAGAAAGTGCCAATGCACCGTTCTGTGGGTTGCTTCATGACTCATTGTGGGTGGAACTCGACGGCGGAGACGGTGGTTGCCGGAGTGCCGGTGATTGCTTATCCAAAATGGTCGGATCAGCCAACAAATGCTAGGCTTTGTGGAAGTGTTTTCGAGAATAGCGTGAAGGTGAATTTTGAGGAAGATGGAAATGTTAGCGCAGAACAGTTGGAGAGATGCATCAGAAAAGTGATGGAGGATCCAGAGGGTAACAAGATGAAGAAGAAGGCATTGAAATTGAAAGACGCAGCAAGGAAGGTGTTGCAGGAAGGTGGCTCATCTCATAATAATGTTAATCAGTTCATTGGTGAATTAGTTCTTGCAAAGAACCAGGCTTCAGCTTAAACTTTCGCTGGGGGGGGGGGGGGGGAAATCAACGGGCCTATTTTATTTTTACCTTGCAGAATAAATTTAATTACACATTTTGGAGTATTCTCCAGATTCTTCCCGCAAGCTAAGCTTGAACTTGGGAAGAAGTAGAGAGGCTGAAGGAGCTGTTTTCGAGGACTGAGGGGTTCTATGTTTTGGAATATCTCTTTCATGTCTTCATTTTACCTTCTCTGCCCAATGTTACAGAAAATTTCAGTAATAATAGGGATACCGTTTTCCTTCGTTATATCAATTTATAATGTTTTATGCTTTTATATTACAAGTTTTAAATTTAAGCATATCAACAAATCTAAATTAAGGTAGTTTTTCCAACATGTTTTGCTCTCTCATAACGTTCAAACAATGAAATTATTAACTATCAACAATATTTTGACTCCCTTTCTCTCAAATCTAAAAATTTTAAATTAATTTGAAATAAAATGGACCATATATAAAAATCAATCTTTCAAATTAATGTCAGTGATTTTTCTGTTATTTAAATCACCATACGTTAATTTTAAATCATATTACCGATAAACAGTAACGCACCCAGTAAATCATATATGATACCAATTACTCCCTCCGTTCCTTATTATAAGAGACATTTGGTATTTATGGCATGTTCCTATATATAAGAGACACTTAAAAGTTGTCTCTACTTTTTTGTGTTAATTTCCTATTTTACCCATATTTATTGTTTCCAACTCACACTCTCTCTCCTTCCCACTTCTCTTTCTTTTAATAAATTACCATTGTTCTCTCTCTTTATTAATGAGGGCATTTTTGGAAAAAAAATTATACTTTTTACATATTAATTGTTCTTAATTAATTTTAACTATTTTTTTAATCAACGTAATTCGGTTATTCATCTCTTATAATAAGGAACAGAGGGAGTACTAAACAATAAATTGCCCTCAGGGTTTATTTCTTTAGGATAAGAAATAAAAAAGACCATAAGTATTTGAAAAATCTTGAAATGTTTACTTATGGATTTAAGTTAAAGTAATAGGAAAATTGTAAATAGATCTTAGATAACCGACTTATTTCCAAATATGTCCAGCAAATTTGCTAAAATACAGCGACGCTCCTATGTCCCGAATAATTGTCGTATTTTTTAACCTGTGCAAAGATCAGATTACTCTTTAACCAATCTATGAAGTTGACTTGTAGATCAAGAAAATTGACTTACTAAAAATGATTTTTTTTTCTTTTTGTGTTAAGACACATATATCTTTTTATTAGAAACAATCATGTTTAAGACATTGTTGGGTATGAGATGTGGGCATCTCTCCCAAAAGGTTTTGAATCTTTGTTTACTACATTATAGAATACTAGCTTTTTAAACTAGACCAACCTCCTTTAATCGAGAGATTTGTTTATGAATAATGAATCTCTTGTTTAGAAATTATTCGTAATTTTTCCCAGCATAATTCAAGGACTTGCGGACTCAGGCCTATCAGGTACCCAAACGTCTGGATCACTTGCAACTGCGCTGCTCAAGGACGAAATCTTATTACCTGGCCCACAGATAACCAACTTGGCCCAATTCACTATCTACAAAGTTTCAGAGAAATTCGATTCAGCCGTATCTTCATATTGTCCATGACTTCTTCTAGTTTTGTTATTCACTATTATACTTTCGCATAGCTAAATGTTATGTGCACAGTGTGTGTATGGAATATGAAGAATAAATTATAGAGTAAAATACATCAACGTCCCTCCTATTCAACCTAAATTATAAAGACCTTCCTTTTATTTTGAAAACTTATATGGACCTCCCTTAAAATCAAAATATATATTACACAAACCTCCTTTTTAGTTTTGAGATTCAACTCCCATCCACCCGTCTGTTAGTTAATTGTTAAATTATAAGATTAACCCATTATTTTGACCAAATTGTCCCTTCTTAATACAAATATCACTTAATAATTATTATTTAATGACATTTCATACATCTTTATTTAAACTTAAAAAATAATTATAATAAATATTTTAATATTTTTTGTTATATGAATTGATTACCATAGTATAAATTTTATTAATTTTATAAATACAAATTTTTATTTTACAATAAATCTTGTTTATTTATTTAAACTTACTTGTGATGTAATTTTTTAAATATATATTAGTAAAAATTGTTTTGTAATTGTATACATGTATTTTCAATAAAATTATAAAGTTATGTCTTAATTTATTAAATTTAGTAAAAATATTAAATAGATTATTAATAAATATTATATTAAAAGTTAAACTACATATTTAAAATAATGAAGGGTAAAGTAGGAAACAAGGTTTATTCTAATATTTTTTTAATTAAAAAATATATGTAAAGAATCTTTTTAGAATATTCCTTAACAGTGTTAATGGTTTGGACTAAAATATATGTTATCAAAATAGAGGGGATGTCAGTGTAATTAAGACAAAATAGAAGGGAAGTCAGAGTATTTTACTCTAAATTATATTATTGCCAGTGTATGAATAATGAAACTTACTATAGATTTTATTTTGATAATCGATTATATTTGACAAAAACTATTGTGATACAGTGAGATTTATCTGAGATTCAAATTTTTTTCTCGGTCAAAATCCAGTATTAGAGAATTAGGAATCGTGAAAAATCATATCGAAAAAGTTGATTTTATTTAACACTTGACCATCACAGTATTTGGAAATGTTTGATTCAAAGGGCATGGGCAACGGCGTAGAATGGTCCAATGCAAAGAGAAGAAAAGAAAGATGGTTGGTCTGTTGTGGAAGGAATCCCAAGTCCCAAAAAGTAGCCACCCCCCTTAACACTTTCAGCACCCACACTATCCATTTATGTTTCTCTCTCTTTTTCTCTTTTCCTTGTAAGAAGCCGGAAATATTTTAATGGCCTCCAATACAAGCATTAAAGTGGGGGGAAAAGAACAAAAGGATGAAAGTTTTTATGAACCATAAAAAATTTGCCCAGATTCTACAAACCTCAATCTAATTAAAAAAAACAAAAGACACCGGCATTTGGAAACCACCGCCTGCAAGAGATTCTTGTTCTTTTGTTTTGTTTTGTTTTGAGCTTAAATAAATACGCCATTGTGTCCATCGGTTATCAAAAGTGAAAAAGGAATAAGGTTTCTCACACCTCCACCTACCATTTCCCCCCACTCTTTTGACCACCCCCAAATTGGCCTTTTCATAAGCTATATGGTTAAAAACTCCCTCGATACCCTTCCTCATCAAATTTATTCTCCATCCTTAATAATAATAATAATAATTACTAACAGTAATAGTGTTTATATAACTAATTTTGACCATCCCAGTTTTATTCATACATTCCGTTTCATTGCCACAGAAAGGTGACACTTTTTTTTTTTGGAGAGAATCTTGCAATCTTTTTCGAATGAGAATGTGAAACCAGGTCAGTTTTGCATCTGGTATACCCAGTCTCTATTCAAAATATAGGCACTAGAGGCTTTGGAATGCTTGGATCCAGTGAGTTCCCAGAGTTAGCAAGTCATATTGTAAAGTCAAATTTTGGAGTTTCTTAATGGGAACACCAGAGCTGGGTGGGGGTGGCCATTACTGCGCCTGATTCTAATCCATTATCAAATGTTTCAGTCAACTACCCCCTTCCACAGGTCCCACTCTTTGAAAATCCCAATTTTAAAGTTCTTTATTATCATGTTCTCATATTAAATCTGCCACAGAGTGAATAACTCGATAGAAGGTTGGGTTAATCTAAGGATTAAGGGCTATATTTTTATATTAAAAGTATTCACAAAGGAATTATATGGGTATTGAGAAGTTTTTTTTATTTTAAAAAAAGCTTAATGTCATCTAGAAAGTATTAAAAAGGTAATCTTACCATAACCATTGAAAAAACTAGGTTTGATTATTAACATTTTCTAATGACAAGGGCAATATTGCTCTATTTTTATAACACTTCCAAAATAATATTGAATCGAAAAAAATATTTCGAATACTTGTAATTCCTTTGCTAATACTTACATGGCAAAAATGACTCACAATCCTTAAATTAATAGTAATATCAAATTTAAGGGGATGTTTGGATAAGTCAACAAACACTTTTCGGAATCATTTTTTCACAAATTGAGATAAATTTCTTCATATATTTACTTCGTATACCGTAAAAATTTATGAAACTATGCCCCTTAAGTCCTACATATATAGCTATGTTAAGAATTTGTAGACATTGAGTAATTGGATAAAATTAAATATTCTTTTATTCCCGGGGGGGTGGGGGAGGAAAGAGAAATTGAGGGGGAGAAAAATCTCTCAGCACATGATGACCTCTCCACCGTCCATTTGCCCTCCGACCTGCTCCGTTTAGACGAATGTAAAAGAAGTCCCTATTTGCTTTGCATACTCTTTGGAGATTCTGAGCCATTCTTTTCACTCTCCACTACCACCCGTCTTTCTCTTGTATAAAACATTTCAACCATTTCATTCACCGTTAAGTTTTGTGAAACAATGAAGCTCTCCGTCGTGCTTGTGGTGGTTCTCACAGTGCTTCTCGTCACAAGGCCAGGAGTTGCAGAAAGCAGAGCATCTCCATCACAGACAAGCCTTAAGTTTCAGAACAGAGCTCTCGTGAAAGAGAAGACCAACCCTAGAGATGATCTCAGAAGGCGAGCTCTGATCCAGAATAAAGTCTACACGACGTTGTCTTCTGGGCCTAGCACAAAAGGTCCCGGCCATTAGCCACAACACAAAGCATCATATTGTCTCGAGTTTCATAATATTTCAGCTCTCTCACAGCTTTCTCTCTGTAATATCCTCTGGGTATATCATATACATTTTGCTTCATAACACATATAGCTGCTTTGTACATGAAGTATACATATAGATAGAGTGATGTTTATCTACCAGAATTTCAGCTTTTTAGATTGGTTATTATGTTTTCTCATAATTTCAAAGTTTGCGGGTTCTATGACAGTTTGCAAGTTTAAAAGCACGTAACCAGTGATTAGAAGGTGATTTTAAAATGCTAAAGTTGTTATATATTGAGATTATCATCAAGATGAAGATGAATGATATCAAATAACCCCCAAGGAGAAAAACAACAAAAAGGAAAAACAAAGGCGTAGATTAAGGTGAGTTTTGGGGACTTCAAGGTGGAGATTGGTACGTGCACAACAACGTTAAAATGGTTTTTTTTTTTTTTTTTCAACTTCTGTACCATGAAGAGTCAGGTATGTAACAGTAATTTTAGGGTCTTGCAGTAAAGTTTCCTTCTGCCTTTACACTGGGGGGCTAATCTTTATTTAACCTGAAAAAAAACTTTGCACGCCTTTGTTACCTTAAAAGTGGCTTCCCCTTCTTGTTTTGCAAAAGGCAATATAAAGCACTTGTGTCTTTTTCTCCTTTTGTCTTTGGCAATTCGCATAGCACTGGTGGTTGTTTACCAACAAAATAAGAGGTAGTTGCAGACTTGCAGTGACATCCAATTAATTTTGTTAGGGAATCTGCAACGGTCTATGGCTGTGGACAAAAGTCAACCAAATATCTCCACAGTAATAATTTATTTACGTTCAAAAGTCAAAACAATAATTTGATTTGTGATATCGAATGGTAATTTTGTGTGTGTTTGTGTGTATATGTGTATTTTGCCATAGTTGAACACTCCCTTTATGCGTGTGATCGTATTCGACGCGAATATTTTTTAAATCAAATTATTATTGATATCTATAAATTTGCAAAAAATTTTAAGTTGTTTATTTTATTTATATTGGCTACATACATAACTAGGTGAACTTCTGTGCTTCATAAAGTCTAGGTAGAAAATGTAAATGCCTTGCTACGAATTTATATATTTTAATATTGTTGATTGATATTGATCCCTGAATAATTAATATATAAATCTGTTTCATCCAAACAAGTGTGATCACTAATAATTAAGGTCAGCTTTGATGATCAGAATAAAGTAGAGTATAAACAATAGTTAAAAGTTCAATTCCAACAAATATACGTGAGAAGGGGGAGATTACGTTGGCACAAAGTAGTATAACTATATTATTTATTTATTTACAAAAAAGAAAGTACAGTATATCATTTGATTTTAAAGAATGTCAGTGTATAAAGTATGCATCTATCCCATCATTTATTTTTACCATACGATTCGAGCTTAATTACTCTATAAATAAATTATACTACTTCCGATCCTAAATATAAGAGTTAATTGACTAATTTGAGAAAATTAAAAAAAAAAAGTTAAGTTAGTTATTTGTAATAAATAGATGTTATCTTTCTTAAAATATCCTTGCTAATCAAGTGTATTGGCTAGAACTACTATTGTTAGAAAGATTATCTTGGAAAGAAATACATAAATATGAGAGACAAAGTAAATTAGGATCTTATATTTAGAACCAAAATAAAAAGTTAAACAAGTTCTTATATTAAGAATCGGAAGTAGTAAATTCTTTTTTTTTTTGAAGAACAATTAAATATATACCCCAATGTCAAACTTGACCTAAAAGTAGAACTTTCTTTTCACATGACAACTTCTTGAAGAGTTGGACACCATTATGGCAAAATAATGAGTCTAGTTGAATGCTGTACTTTCAAACTCGCCCCGCTTTGACATGCCAGTGGATCAATCCCAATATTGACAGCACAATAGTCATCAATCTTACAATTGCGTCCAGCACTTAATCCCACTTTTCAGTGAGTATGGAATATTAACAATTCCAAAAAGAAACTCGCAAGGAAGAGAAATTAACTGAAGCCAACGATAATTATTGTAATTTGAGAGGCTTAAGCTAAGATTTGATCATCCGGAACCATCAATATGCGACGGAGAGAAAACAGAATGGGCTGCACTATCATCGTTCAAAATTGACATGACTTCTGAGTCTGCTTGTGTTGACAGAGTAGGAAGACGCCTTACGTTGGACAGTTCAATTGATGCCGTAGCCCCACTTGAAGTGTCCTCTCGTGAGTTCCTCTGTCTCGCACCTCTCTGAAGTTGGAGCGAATACTCCAAGTCCCACAACACATCACTCATAGTTGGCCTGTCACACCCATCGTCCTGCAGACATTTTTCCACTGTCTCACTGAATTTTCTTAGTGAGTTTGGATCTATTTGGTACTTTATCGTCGGATCTATCAGTTGGTCCAGTGTCCCCCTTTGCTTGCAGAACATTCCCCATTCAGCTAAGTTCACTTGGTTCCATGGAAGCGTAGGATCAAGTGCTGGTCTTGCACATAGCACTTCGAGAAGAACCACCCCAAATGAGTAAACATCAGATTTGTCTGTTAACTGTTGGGTTCTGAAATACTCAGGATCAAGATACCCAAATGTGCCTTTGACACCTGTGGTGATAGATGGTTGTTGATCAAGAGGACCTGTCTTGGAAAGGCCAAAATCAGCAACTTTAGCAACATGGTTTTCGTCGAGCAATATGTTGGTGGACTTCACATCACGGTGAATGATTCCGCCAGCTGCTCCTTTATGAAGGTAATTCAGACCTCTTGCTGCTCCAATGCAGATTTCGAGCCTCAGTTTCCAAGGCAAGCTGGGGAGATTTGCATTGTACAAGTGATTTTTGAGTGTGCCTTTTTCCATGTACTCATAAACCAGTATCATCTCAGACCTCTCGTCACAATACCCAATTAAGGACACAAGATGACGATGGCGAATTCTGGACAAGACCGTGATCTCAGTTTGAAATTCTGGGAATCCTTGTCCTGACCCTGGCTCACTTCTCTTTACAGCTACTTTCACACCATTCTCGAGAATTCCCTTGTACACATTGCCAAATCCACCCTTCCCAATAATCCGTTTTTTGTGGAAATTGTTTGTTGCAGATTGAATCTCCTTAAAAGAAATCTTGAGTCCCAGTTTTAAGTTACCAAGAGACGAGCCATGGCTGCTTCCCCATTTGCCGTGGGAACTTCCTCCTCCCTTAACTGAAAGTGGCGCCCAATCCAGAGTTCTAATAATCTTTGGTTTCCCATATTTCCGGATGAAACAGAGAACAATAACCGTAATGCAAATCAGGGCCGATGCTCCAACCCCCACGTCTAGAAGGAGATGCTTATGATTCTTCTTACATTCGTAGTTGGCCTCTGCAGGAGCTCGAGTTTTAATGATTTCCATCACTTCAAGACCATTCAGGAAAGCATTTTTAACAATAGACGCTTCGTCAGGCCCAACGCTGATGCTCAATTTTCCAGAGTCATCAGAATCGACAACAAAATCACGATAAAAAGGAACAGAAAGCGGCCATAAATCGGCACGAACCGACCAATTGAAGAAGTTGTAGATATAAAAATTGAAGTATGTAAGGCCTTGGCTACTACTGATAACGTCACAAAAGTGAGCTCGAATGAAATAACTAGCATTCCTCTTCACCCGAAGCGCCCATGATATGTTAAAAGATCTACCACGATTGCCTGAAGCTGAAGCCATCGCTCTGGCTGTCTGGTAAACATTTTCTGGGGCTGTAACATTATTTGAAGCCAGACCATGTTCTTCCGAACCGTTATCTCCTCCTCCGTAATTAATACCAACAACTTGAGATAACTTCTTCCCTGTTTTAGTGTATTGATCATCTTTCGTCCATCTTCTCCGCAAGATATCGTTTTCCTCAGAGCCACCAACATCAAGCATGTAACTCATACGTAACACAGAGGAGAGAATGCCCTTGTAGTCACTGGTATTTCCTTTGCTAGTAACATGTGTTGTCATATTGGGGATAAAATTATCGGGGAGGCGAAACAGTTCTATGGCGTTTACAAATGCGAATTTCGATTCCACGGGGAAAAAATCGATTCGCAAGCTCATGCAGCTACCGATGTTCAGATAAAACTCTTTTACTATAGGAGAGTTTGTTTGATTTTCGGCGCTGAAATTACCCAACAACAAAAATCCCGCACTCCAAACATTGAATCGAGCCCTAGATAGATTTTCTGGAGACGAGAAAGCATAGAAATGGAGACGTACCACATAATACCCGCCTTCATTTTCGCCGATTTTGAACTTGTAACCAGATGGACCATGAAAGATTCTCGCGGTTTGATACAGGGAAGGTGTAGTTGACGATTTATTAAGTTCCTTCAAGGTGGAGCTGTGCTTCAAAAAGCAAACGGAAGCAGAAGAGTGGTCGCCAGAGAAAACCTGACGAGAGTCGTTTACGCTGGAATCGGACCCGCAATTGATGAAATACTTAGCGGGAACAGCGTAGGCTAGAGCCAAGGAGGAGAATTGAAGAAGGAAAAAGAAACGAAACATGGAGATACAAAGAACTTCCATGAAAGCAAAGCGGGGGCACTTCCAGAATCCGGCGATAAATAAAGTTGAGTTTAATTTGAAGGTGATGATGAAGGAGCTATGAACGGATAGATGAGTCGAAGGAACATGGAAGCTGCATAAAGTGGAAGACCTGAGAGTGGTCAACTATTAATGAACTCAAATGCAAGTATCTTTAAAAGGTGCGTGTGGAAATTTCGGAAGACGTCCGGGAAATTTCAACCTGTCACTGGCTCACTGAGAAAAGGAATTTGATTGAGCGTTGTGGAAGAAGGCCCCATGAAAGAAACGTTCTTGGCAGATGCCATGACAAGTCAAAGAATTACATCACTGAATAGTATATATACATAAACTAGCAGCACTACTACGTTGGAATTATTCGCTGTATACTTGAAGTTCCATTCACGGTCTGAAGTCTAACCCCGGTCTGTACGTTGGTTTTGATGTTCCAGCTAGCATAGAAGTTTTCTTCTGAGATTAATATCTCTCCCTTCTCTCTCTCTCTCTCTCTTGCCATTTCATTTCTATGGAAAAAGTGAACGGTGAAATTTAATGTTTTATAAAATCATTATCTTTCTATTTTCATTCGCAGATACTGTCAACTGTTCAAGTCATGTTTTAAAGTCTAAATTTAATTGCTTAATTTTTAATAAAAATGAAAATGAGAGAAATGATCCGGGGATTATGTAACAACTATTCTCTGAACTATGCAAAATACCATATAAAACTCGTTTGATTTTAAGGTCTCAAAAAAAGAGTTAACACTTAAAAACTCATCCTTTTAACGATTGTATCAAATAAACATGAGTAATAAAACCTATAATATAATTCGAATATAAATATCCAAGTCTGTAGTCTCAAAGTCTAATATACCAAAAACAGTGGGGAAAACATGAAATAAAGCTAAAGTCTATCAGTTCAAGGAATTAACAAAATAATGATTTATTGTCTAGGGTCATGACAAATAGTAAGTAATCAAATTAACTCAGTATGTACTTGAGAAGTGTAAGAGCTCACTCCTCTGGTACCTTCCCTTGCTCTCTATAAGAATTGTCACTTGAAAAATATTAAATAATTGATGTGAGCACAAACGTCTCAATAACCCAGAGTTCAACCATACAGATACAACCATTACCCAAATATTTTCATATTAGCTAGGCAAACAAATATTGTAACAGCTTAAATAATTATTAGCAAAATATGTAACTAATTTAATAATATACCATATTCATATGTAATGGATGCTTTCTCCCTTATTACTCCATCCAACCTTATTTTGCTGACTGGAGCCATAGACTTATACATGGTTTGGCTCACACTCTAGACTAACCAAAACTACTGTAATACTTAGGATATATCTGCCCAACTATGAATGAACTCAAATGTAAGTATCTTTAAAATAAAATGTGTGTGGAAATTTTGGAATTGGCTCACTGAGAAGAGGAATTTGATTGAGCATTGTGGAAGAAGGCCCCACGGAAGGGAACGTTCTTTCCACTTGCAATGACAAGTCAAAGAATTATATCACTGAATAGTATGTACACATACACCAGTACTACTATGTTGGAATTATTCATTGCATACTTGAAAGTTTTATTCACGGTCTGAAGTCTAACCCCGGTCTGGACGGGGGTTGCGATGCTCTTTTTTTTTTTTTAACAGCAGAGGCTTTGATATTCTAGCTAGCATCGAAGTTTTCTTTTGAGATTAATATCTCTCCCTACTCTCTCCCTCTCTCTCTCTCGCCATTTCATTTCTATGGACAAAGTGGATGGTTGAAATTTAATATTTAATAAAATCATTATTTTTCTATTTTCATTGGCATATAACTGTAAACTGTTCAAGTCATGTTTTAAAAGTTTAAATTCATTCGTTCATTTATTTATTATATAATATTATAAAAATAATTTCATAAGACATTAAATTTTAATTGTTTGATTTTTAATAAAAATGAGAATGACAGAAATGATCCCGGGGGGATTAGGTTCCAGATCCTTCCTTCATATGGCAATTTGCCTATTTTTTTCAGTTTCGGAATAGAATTTTGGGTTATCTCGTCTTTCTTCACAAGTGGGGTTTAATTTGGGTAACCTCGTTTACTTAGGGTTCTTTAGATAGAAACTAAATCATGATTTTAAAAATATTTTTACGGTATACGAAATAAATATGTAAAAGAGTTTGTCTCGTTTTATGAAAAATTATTTTTGAAAAGCACTTTTGGGTTAACTATTTAATTTAATCAATATCAATTACTTCTTCTTAATCAATTACTTCTTTGGAATGCTAAAAATGAAAAAAAAAAAGATTATTTAAGTAATAGAATTTTGGAGAAATTGCAAAAAAAGACTTTGGAATTGCAAAAACGCAGATAGGGACCCTTGACAACTTTATTTTGGGTTTTGACAACTTCATGACATATTATTATTGTCAAAACCCAAAATAAGTTGTCAAGGGTCCTTATCTGCGTTTTTACAATTCCAAAGTCTTTTTTTTACAATTTTTCCTAAAATTTTCGTGTGTTACTAAAGAAGATCTTATGCTTGCGTAGAATCTATAGACGCGTGCTGAACTCTCGGCAAAAACTCAGTTGATAATGTTAAGAAATAGAAGAAATGTGGAAAATTATACTAATAATTATTTTATAAAATATTAAATCTAAATGATTAAAATTTTAATTTAAGTGAAGGAAAAATGAGAAGAAGAGAGCACCCTGTTTTTATAGGGTTCCAGGACACATATAGGATGTGAGGTTTTTTTTTTTTTCCTCCTAAAAAAAAAAAGACGCATATGAGATCATGTCCTTGTTACGATAACGCGAAAACAAGCGGATCTAGTTCATACATGGTTCTCATTCGGTGCTCATCACCTGATGAGCAATCTAGACCGTCCAAATTAGATCTGGACGGTCCAGATTTAATATTATTAAATAATTATTTTAAAATAGAAAAAATTATATTTTAAAAAATGATAGTTAAGAAATTATTTTTATTTTTTATCATATACCTATTAAAATAATTATTTTTAAAAAAATAAAAATAAAAATAAAAATAAATCTAGACCGTCCAGATCTCCAGATCTGAATGTAAATCCAGTTCATGCAAAGTTTTCACCCCGTTTATTTAACAGTAATAGTTGTGATGTGTTTATTGTTGGCAACTTATTGTCAGTGCTTCTTTCGTGCCTCATTACAAGTTTTAATTTTTGGTATTTTTTTAATCCTTAATTACAAGTCTTATTACAAAGTTCTAGACATAATTAAAACGTTTTCACAAGATATCCCGCGTAAAAGATTAAAATCGCACATCTTATTTAATAAAAACATCTTTTGATGCGCTTTCTGATAGTGTCATTTAACTGAGGCCAAAACTAAAAAAGGGGAAAAATTTTACGTATAAAATAAATCTTAATGCTTTCTTCATACGTGTGTTTAGAGAAACTAAATCTATAATTAGGACATCATAGGCTCCATCCATGAGTTAGTAAAGAATAATCCCTTGTTGAGCGTGAAATGTTTTTTAAATAAACCAACTAAACACATGGTCTTTGGTTACTTGTCCTAACCAAGCACGGCATGGAAAGAACCCACAACGGTCCATTTTGATTTACTTATTTTTTATTTGACTCTTAAAAAAGTTAGATTAGTAATATAATGAGAGACTTACAATAAAATCTCACAGAAGAGAAATAATTACTAAAAAGTCCCAATAACAATCTCAGCAGCCTATAATAACAAGCTCTATAGTGAGAACGACAATATCTTAGACTTGTTTTTTAATTATTTTCCTTGTTTGGGACCTCATTGTAATTCTCCCTAATATAATTTATGTTTGGATTGATTTTTATAAATAAGTCAGTTTACGAAAATAGAGTTATATAGATTATTATTGAAAAGGTAAGTTTAACTATAAAATAACAAAAAAAAAACATAAATTTTATATATAATATATACTATTTTATTCTCTTTAGTTATATTTCTTCATATATTTTCTTATTATCTTTTATCTCATTTGTTATAAAGCCATATTTAAAATCAAAAGTACTTTCTCCTATATGTAATGTAAGTCACTTCTAAAAGAATAACTTGATCCAAAATTTAAGTCACTTGAGGAGTAATTAATGCTTATTTGTGAATCTTGTCCCCTCAATGCTTAAATGTGACTCTTTATATTTTTCTCTTTCCTTCACAGTTTCATTTAATATAGGTGAAGTTGAAGGAAAAAAATTCAATTTGAAACATATTTAATGAATCTATTTTTTTTGACATTGACAAATTAATTAAAAAGATTTATATTATGGACAGGGGAATATATTTATAACCTATTTATTATTTTTAATTAATTTTAACTAATTTTTTTGTTATCCCTAAATTAATTATTTGAAACTCATAACAAGAATTAGATAGAGTAGTAAGTTAAAAGTGGAATTCAACTCTTTTTTAACTTTCTCTCTCTACTTTTCAAAAGCTAAATGTCATAGTGCCTATTTAGATCAGTGATGGCAAAAATAGTTTATTTTTAATTTGACTTTTAAAAAATTAAATTGGATAAAAGTTAGATTGAATAATATGATTTATGTTTAAATTGATTTTTGAAAAAGTTAGATTGAGTAAAAATAGAAGTTGTTTGGATTATGATTAAATAAGTAAGTTTAGTTTGTAAAATTACTAAAAAAGGTATGACTTTTATTACATGATATAAAATTAAAAAATATCAATTTGTAGAATGTAATGATTTAAATTATTTTACTTGGAAGAAGTTAAATATAATAAAAAATATATTTAAATTAGAATATTTACAGAATATATTTGTTAACATGAAAACAATTTTCAGATTTAGCTTTAATTCAAATAAAGATTTCCCTATATACCGGAGAAGTAAGATACTAAAAGGGAAAAAAAAAAGAGGAAAGGAAAAAAATATCTCTACATAACTAGCTATTGTTAGCCAACCAACGTGTATAATTCCACTGCCTCTCATTTAATTATTTTTAATTCACAGCTTTTTTTAAAGACCACAGGTCTGTAATCTCTTTTTGTTCTTCATCTCCTTTCTCTCGCTCATTCATCTTGGCTGTGATGGTGGCAACTCACGTTATGTTTGAATTGGCGGTAGCAAAATTGACTTTTGTTTCATCTAACTTTAACAAATATTGAGTTAAGATAATAATCAATTAGTATAATATAATTTATGTTTGGATTGACATTTGTAGAAAATTCAGTTTGACAAACTTAAACTTGTTTGGATGAAATATAGAAAAGTAAATTCATATGTAAAATTACTAAAAAGGACTCAAATTTTGTTAACTAATTATATATATAATGTGATAATTTTTAAAAATATATTAAAATTAAAATTATAAAAAATATTAATATATTATTGAGAAAATTTGAATGTACTAAATATATGATTTTAATCCATTTTGTCTCCAATATTTATTTATTTATTTTCCAAGTAATTCTTATAGTGAATATACATATTGAGAAGTTTTTATTAATGTGTAGTTTTAATGTATATAATTAACAAGAATATTTTAGGCAAGACAGTATCAATTTATTACAAATAACTAAATTAATTAATTTTATTAATATCTTCAAATTAGTTATCTAACTCTTATATTAAAAATATGTAGGATCAAATTATTGGATTGGCTAAGAGTAATTTTGTCATTTTTCATTACCATCTTTTCTCTCTCCATGTTTGTGATGGCAAAAACTGAAAAAATTAGCTTTGGCTCCGTTTAGGTTAGTGATTGAAAAAGTAGTTTATTGTCAATCTGACTTTTAAAAAAGTAAGATTGGGTAAAAGTTAAATTGGGTGATGTGAATTATGTTTGGATTGGATTTTGTAAAAGTTAGTTTGTGAAAGTAAGTTGTTTGGATTATGATTAAATAAGTAGTTTTAGTTTGTAAAATTACTAAAATAAGCAAGACTTTTATTAAATAATAAAAATAAAAAATTATCAATTTACATAATATAATAATTTTAAATTATTTATAAGCTTATGTTAATCTCATATATTTTCTTTTATTTTTTTAATCATTTATTATAAGGGCATATTTGAAAATAAAAGTATATTTCTATAAGCATGTTTAAAAACAAAAGTATATTTCTAACTTATTTGTTACTTTCAACTAATTTTAGCTGCTTTTTTGTCACCTACAAATTAGTTATTTGAGGCTGAGAAGGTAATAAATTTATTAATTTTTTCTCTCTCCATGTTTTAAAAGCTATGAGTCATAAGTAGCTAATTTTTACTTATAACTTATTGTAGCTTTTCATACAAAAGCCAGATTACTCAATCACTCATCCAAACACCACAAATTCTTCAACCGGGCTTATGCTTGAAAAAAAGCAGCTTATTGCCCTCCAAATGCTGAGGCAAACAGGCACTTTAGTGTTAGACTATCTTCTTACCCAAAAACTCATTTACCAAAATGCTTACCCAAACATTTCTTTGAGCATTTATTTGCCAGTAACATGGGTTTGCGTCATTCCAATGCACATTTTCTGTTGAAAATGTTAATCCAAACATGGGCCCAGTTGGTGACAGGTTTGGGAGTACTGGCCTGAGGGTGAGGATAGATCAGACAAGGTAGGAGGAGAGGAGTAGACGAAGGAGTAAGACAAGGAGACGGAACAAAGACCCAACACTAGATATGGCTTAGAGAGGAGATGCGATGGAGATTTCAAAGCGAAGAATAAAGAGAAGAGTGAGAAAATTTTTTTTTGAGAATAATTATGTTTTAATAGTCCCTTACTAGCCACTCGTAAACACGATACATAAGTAATAAGTGGATATGAGGAGCTTATCAAATCAGGCTTATAAATTCGGCTTTTAGCTCTTAAGAAGGATTGGATAAAAACTCATATAAACAGGCTAAACTTTTCAAAACGTGCTTATAGGCTTTTTGAGGCCTTAGCACCCCGTTGTATTACCAAACCCAGAGAACAATGCACATGATACAACAGCATTACCAGAATGCGCCAATTTTGTATTCCTAATTGGGCCTCCTATTTATAGGCCCATAAATGGAAGCCCATTTACTCCCAAAAGCACCCAAGAAACCAAAATCATCCGGCGCGGGGTAGCGGTTTTCCAGCCCCTTGTTTTATTTTCCACTGTGCCAGTCCTCTCTCTTCTCTCTCCATATATATGTATATATATATATATATTGCTTTCTTCAGGAGGTTCGGTAGAGGAGAGAGAGATTGAAGGGAACAGCACAATGGTGGGACAGTGGGCGGCGACGAAGCCAAGCAGGAGCGATGAGGTGTTGGATGCCGATGAACGACAGAGGATCGCTAATCAGATCAGAGAGCAGTTCGATTCCTTGGCCCCCAAGCGACCCGTTAAACCCAATCGAAGCGAACCGGACCCTGACGCTCAGCTCCGTCACTCCTCCACCGTCATCTCTCAGAACATTCCCGAGCTTCTCAAGTTTCAATCTTTTCAATCTCAACCTCACGTCCGCGACAATACCTCTCTGTTTCTTTCCTTTTTTTTCCCCCCGAATTTCTCAACCTGTCTCTCACGCTTGTTTCACCAAATCCCCAGGCTGTGTTCTCCGATGAGGGACCCAAGGATGCGCCGGACGAGTTTGTAGAGACCCGGTACTACGAAAAGCTTACCTCTATCGACAAACAGCACCACACGGTTCGTCATCTTTCTTCTTCTTGATCTGATCAAGTCTTTAAAACCTTTTGAATCAATTCTGGGTTCTGTTCTTTGTTTTCTGGAACAGACAGGAAGTGGGTTTATAAAGGTTGAGAGGATGGGAGGTGATGATCTTAAATTCCAGAACACCCAGATTATTAATGGTGGTGAAACGAAGTTGCCTGCATATAAAAGTAACCCGGCCACAAACGACTGGATTCCCAACATTGATGAACGTCAGGTATTATTCTTTTTTTGAGCGTTTTCACCTTTTACAATAGTTGAATTGTCAGTAGAATGGAATCAGAATGTTGCTTGATGATGCGGTAATAGGTATTTGTGTCAACGAAGCCGAATCGGAGCGACAGTTCTTAGGAGGGATTCAGTTTGGTGGTTCTGGTTTTCCGGCCCCGATCATGTGTTAGGTGTGATTTTGGGGGTGAAGCTTTAAAATAAAACCTGTATTAGGTAATTCATATTTGGGTTTGGACTATTAGGAATGGGAAAGAAGAACCAGAATAAACAAATCTCTTGAAGGCTACTTTGTTCTTATCCATTGTGGCTGTTATGAATGATTAATTATTATAAATATACGAGTGAACTATGCAATTACCAATGTGATCATCCACTCTATGACCTGCCCAGTTAGTGGAATCGCCACACTGGCTGAAGTTAGACCTTTCTAAAAGTTAGATTTCATCTTTATTATAATTAATAATAATGGAAATGAAAATGAAGCATAAAAAGAGTACAAGTTATAAATAAAAGCATCGAGAGCTTGGATCAATTAGTAAGAATCGGTAATGAGTTCGATTTTTGGGAAACACAGCAGTGTTGATAGTGGGGTTGCTGTTCATATGGGTCTCACTTCTAATTAGTCTGATTTGGTTTTAATTCATTGAGAGGTCGGTCAGGACATTGGGTGTATATACTTTAAAAAAAAAAAAAGTTACAAAATCACAGATAACATGAACGGAAATCTCTTCCTCTAAGTAGAGAAACAGAGCGGCTGGTCAAAAAAGGTAGAGAAACAGAGTGGTATATGTGTATGTACATATATGGCCTTATTGGAAACGTGAGGGGATATCTCGGAGAAATTCAACTGAGAAGCCTCGGAATTCGTTGGAAGAACGCAATCCAAACGAACGCTATGACCATGGGTGTGTTTGCATTCACGGTTTGACACCAAAACATGCGATTCAAATGGTAAACGGTGTTTTTTCAGAAAATATAGTGTTTGGTATAATATTTATACAATCTGATTTTTGGATCTCAAATGGACTTATGGAAGAAACTAATCAATCCTGCTTTTATCGGTAAAAAGTAACAATGCGGTGGAAAGGTAGTATTTTTTAATTTCTTCCTAATAATAAATTAATTTTTTATTTTAAATGATTTTATTTTCAATATTTTTTTACAATTGTCATATTATATACATTTAATATTAAATATGTACTACTTCCTATATTTAATATAAGAGCTAGTTAATTAATTTAGAATGACAAAAAAAGTTAGTTAAATTAGTTATTTATAATACTCCTCCGGTCCTTAATATATGACCTAATTTTTGAGTTGGTTTTGGTCCTAAATATAAGACTCATTTTTCATATTTTTTAATTTTTTCTAAATTACCTCTATGGATACTCCCCCAACCATAATCAAGTAGAAGAGGGAGAGGGGGTATTAAGAAAGATGATTATGGTGTTTTAGAAAAAATGTGTCACTTTTCTTATAATTAACTAATTTACCTAACTTTATTAATCTAATCAAATTAGTTAAATGGGTCTTATATTAAGGACCGGAGGAGTAAATAGTTATTGTTTTATATTTAGAATCAAATTTAATATCAAGCTAACTCTTATATTAAGGATTGGAAGTAGTATTACTTAATAAAATTCATATCTTTTTGTTCATTTTACATATAAACTAACTTTTTCATTAGTCATCCAAACAAGTTTTAATTTCTCAAATTGACTTTTGTACAAAATTCAATCTAAACATAAATAACATTATCTTATCTGAGAAGTCAGATTGAAAAACACACCCATATTAAGGATATTGAATTAGAACTGATCTTGCATGTTTGATGATATTTTATTTAAGTAGATGCTTTTTCATGAACTATTATTATTATTATTACTACTAGTATTATATTATTAGTTGAATTGTTAAATTACTCGCATGTCTTGTATTTTAGCCAACCAACTTATTTAGTCTCTCGACAGTTTATTAAAAAAAGTTCGTCTTCATCGCCGCTAAATAAGCAATTAAGCATGCATTGATAAGTGTGTAGCGTGCCTTTTTATTTCTATTAATAATAATAATATCACGTGAATCTCCGCTCAAATTATGGAGTTAAGATATGTATAAACTGGAATTCAAGACTCTTACGCTGTGTTTGGCTCGACGGAGGAAAGGAAAGGGGAGGGATTTTAATCAAGGAAAGGAGAGGGAAGAGTAGCTACAAAGGGGAGGGGAGGGGAGGGGAGGGGAGGGGGGATTTTAATGATCTCCTGTTTGGATTGATTGGAGGGGAGGGGAGGGAGCAATTTTAATAATACCTTATTTTGTTCTAATAAAAAATTGACTATTTTAACCTCATAAAATTTAAATGAATTTTCTCACTTTTTTATTTTGTTAAGATATAACTATAAATATATAATACAATTCACCAATTTTGATTTATAAGACACAATCACACACTTATAGAATATCAAGATAAAAAGTCACAAGTAATAGATTTCAATCAGAGAAAAGACCCTGAAGGTGAAAGAAAATACCAACGGCCTCTTGGAATTAGAAGAAGAGAAAAAAAAAAGTTTACAAATGCTCACTAATTTTGGAGACAATTATCTTAATAACCTCTTGTTAGATACTTAAAAGGACTCTCTTATGTAGAAATGTTTACGACTGATTAGAGGTTAACAAATTGAAAGGGTATATAAGGAATTAAAATATTATCTCTCACCTCCCCTTCAAAAAACCCCACTTTTGGAGGGGAGGCTAGAAGGGAAAGGGAGGGAAGAAAAACCCCTCCCCTCTTTAAAAAACATCTTAACCAAACGAGGGGAGGGGAGGAGAGCCCCTCCCCTCCTAAAAAATTACACTAACCAAACAAGGGGAGGGAAACAACCTCCCTCCCATCCCCTCCAAAAATCCCGTATCAAACATAGCGTTAAAGAGGTACTTGGAAGCACCCAAAAGAGCTTCTTAGAAGCATTTTTTTTACAAAATAAGATAATTTTTTTATATATTTATTTCGTATACTGTAAAAATATTTTTAAAACTATAGTTTAGTTTCTACCTAAACATCCCTTAACTAATCAACATGTGTGTGCGTACAATTGAAACCACTCTTCGGCGGAAAAAAAATTAAAATCACTAGGTACCTTTTTTACCAAAAAAAACAAAAGGCCGTAGCCCAAACTTAAATAATATTTGTAAGATTCTTAAAAAAAAAAAAAACTCTATTTGATTAAGATTATGAAAAATGCTGTATTTGATTAATTTCGAAATTAAATCATGTAATTTTCATTTTAAAAAGAATTTTATAAGATTCTAATAGAATACTCCTCCGGTCCTTAATATAGAACCCAATTATTGAGTTGGTTTTGATCTTAAATATAAGACCCATTTATCATATTTATCAATTTTTTCTAAATTATCCATATGGATACTCCCTCAACCATAATCAAGTAAAAGAGGAAGAGGAGATATTAAGAAAGTTGATTATGGTATTTTAAGAAAAATGTGTCATATTTCTTATAATTAACTAATTTACCTAACTTTCTTAATCTAATCAAATTAATTAAATAAATCTTATATTAAAGACGGGAAGAGTAGTAATTAGACCTATGCCTTTTACCTCGGCTTCTTTTCTTTTGACACTGCAATGAGTTTGAACTATCAAAATGCTCCAAATAATTATTTAAAAAAAAAAAAAGACTAACGCACAGGAGGATCCAGGGATGCAAACCGCGACACATATACTAGGCGAAGCTTAAAAAAAAAAACCAGGGATTTGGTGGGTTTAAAATAGAGAGTACCAGCAAGAAGCCCATGTATGACGGTACAAAAGTTGGGCCTCTAGTTTTACGGCCCATTTACTGAAACCCAATCGAAGCGAACCCAATATCACAGAGTTTGCTCTATTGACTAATTGCATCTTACAAGTCTTTAAAATAGTACTTCTGGTCTTAATTATAAGATATTATTTTAGTTTAAAAATGATATTTTATAATTAAAATCGGAGATAATACTTTTTAGAACAATTATGGGTTTGGCTCTCTGTTTCATTTTCTTTTTTTAATTTCTCGGAACAGAATGAAGTTGCTTGACTGAACCTGCGGCCTGCGGCAACCTGCTACAACAAGTACTCGCAGGTGACAAAATTATATAGGATTAAGTCAGCAAAAGAAACTATTTAAAATTGTATGGAGTAAATATTCATTTTCCTAAGTCAAATATGTCTAATAAATAAGCCTAACCCAAACTATTGAAGTTGGCCTATGCATGCTCCTAAATTACTAAAAAACCGGTTCGAATCCAAATGACCAGGCAACAAGAAAAACTAGAAAATTGATATTAATGCGCATGGGAACTAGCACGCACGCATATGTGTAAACATTGAATGAATTGAACACCCCATTTTACATTTGGCATTATGAATTTCCATTAGTGCCATTTAAAATTTTTAAAAAAAATTAAAAAATTGTACTTGATTTAAGTATCTAAGTTGATTGGTTACAATTTATTATAGTTATTATTTTAAAAGTTACATTTAAAAGACTATTTTATTTTTTAACCCACACATTTCAAAATAAAAATTTCTGAAATTATGTATATAACTCGAACTGCGTAAATCATATCATATTTATTATCACAAAAGTTTTATTATTCGAACAATAACATAAATCTTGTTGGCAAAAAAAAAAAACATAAATCTACTTTCACACCCTTCAACAATAATCTACAATATTTTAACTTGAAGCTTTAAGAATTATATTAAAGAATGCCAATATATTTTCTTTTTGAGAAAACAGTGAGTGAGGAAGACGGGAAAAAAACCAAAATTGTCGGATAATTGAATAATACAAATTTTACTACAACAAAATTAATAAACCAGAAAATCACGACATCACGGATGCTTTTCAATAGTTAAAAATTAAATTGTAGCGGCATAAATAAATAAATAAATAAATAAATAAAAATCACAATTTCAGGATAACTTACTTAACGAACCTAACCTCAGGAGCTTGCCTCTTGCTGTTGAATTGAACTTGGATATCTGGGCGAGCCGTCACCACCACTTTGATCTATGGCGGTGGTCTCGCTTCTGTAGCATTTCAAAATTGATACCTGTGTGTGTTTCTATT